TTGAACTAGCTTCGAAAATGAGGATCGAGCGAGATAGGCGTAGAGAGTCTTCAGCTATTAATGACGTGAATTCTTCTAAATCAGTTGCTCAGATCTTCCGTTAGAGATCATCTGCTACGTCCCACCAAGTCATTCCGCCCTTGCTTAATGCTAGTGATGCCTTCATTACAGAGGAGTCAGGCAAAGCAGAAATTTTAAATTCGTTCTTTGCCAAGCATTTTACCATTGAAACTGATCCGATCCCTTTAATTCCTTCGTTGTCTGATGCTTCTCTCAGCTTCATTAATTTTTCTCCTGAATGTATTCAAAAACTGATAAACCATCTTCCTAACTCTCACTCAGTAGGTACGGACAATATCCCAAACTCTTTGATAAAACAGCTAAGAGATTTTCCTCCTCTGCTTAGCAAAATCTTTTCAGTATTTCTCGTAAATGGCTTCTTCCCTGACTATTGGAAAACTTCTATTATTATTATTCCAGTATTTAAGTCTGGCTGTCGTTCTGACGTACAGAACTATCGAGGTGTCCATAAAACACCCTCTCTCGCCAAAATCTTCGAAAAAATTATCGCCGTAAAAATTACCGAATTTTGCATAGCCAATCAAGTTATTAGCCCTTCTCAGCATGGTTTTTTTTACCAGATCGCTCTTGTGAAACATGTCATCTGTCGTTTCTCGATCTACTTACCTCTCTTCGTAATGATCACCTATCTGTTGTCGTTATTTATTTTGATCTTAGTAAAGCCTTTGATAAAGTGCCACATAAAAGACTCTTGATTGAATTGGAAGCTATGGGAATTCGCAGTCCACTAATAGACTTTCTCAGGTCATACCTGTCTAATCGTAAACAAAAGGTTTTGGTGGGATCTTCACTTTCCAGTGAAAGTCCTATTGTGAGCGGTGTCCTACAAGGTACCGTTTTAGGTCCTCTTTTGTTCTTGCTTTACATAAATGATATTTCAGCCGCAGTTAAACATTCTCAATCATTTATTTATGCCGATTATCTCAAATGTGTATATTCTTTTAAAAAATCTACGAGCCTTCATTGCCTGGAGCAAATCCATGCTGACTTGATTGCTCTCTTAGCTTGGAGCTCAAAATGGCTAATGGAATTCTCTCCGTCTAAATGTCGTTATGTGTGTTTTGGACCTGATAGGCTACCCCAACCTGTGGTCTTTCAAGGCACACCTATGACTGAATGTACCACCATCAAGGATTTAGGTTTAAGCTACACTAGAAATCTTGATCTCTCGCCGCACGCTGACAGAATTACAGCCAAAGCTGCCCAGATTTGTGGCTTTATTTCTTACAATTTCTATCTTCCTGAAATTAAATTAAGGCTCTATCGTATGTTTGTACTTCCCATTCTCGAGTATTGTTGCCCATTCTTTGGTTTGATGAATGAAGCCAGTCGTTTAAAAATTGAAAATGTCCAAAGACGTTTTTCTAAAAAACTTTTAGATAGGGAACATCCCAATATCTCCTACTCAGATAGATGCCAGCTAATTAACCTAAAAATTTTATGGGTTCGAAGACTAGAAGCGGGCTTCTGTCTCCTCTTTCGCATTAATCATAGTTCAAATTTTCCTCGAATTTCAACACTTACCCCTAGTAGTCGTCCATACAATCTTCGCAACTCGTCTCTAATTATACCTCTTCCAGTGTCCTCCACCTCTAAGCGCTCCCATTTTTTCGCTTCCAGATATAGCTCCCTCTGGAATAACCTTCCAATAAATATAAGATCTTCAGACAATCTACACACCTTTAAGAGAAGGCTACGCCTCTATCTGAATACTGACTCGATTAAACTTTTATTTTCCTCATCCTTCCCAGACAACTTTTTCTATGACACTGAGAAAGGGCCACCGGGATTTTAGCATGCCGCTATTAAATTTCCGTATCTGTTCACGTGTCCTTCCTTTATGAGTAGTCTCGTTACCTAAGATCCCTCACCAGAAATGTTAATTATTCCAATTTTTTAGTTCATGCATCGTGCCCTCACAGAATGCGCGCCATCGACGCTCTTGGCGAAACCTTCTGTATTCGCCATATACTAGTAGTTTGGTCGCATCTCCCTTCCCCCATCCTCGGTTGGACTCGGATGAATGTAACCGACCGCATCTGGGTTCCTATCGCCTCGGGACTGATCTTCATGATGCCCTCACTGAATGCGCTCCATCGATGCTCTTGGCGAAGCCTTCTATACTAGTCATATACTAGTAATCTGGTCGCATCTCCTTTGGCCTATCCTCGGATGGACTCTGATGAATGTAACAGACCGCATCTGGGGTCTTGTCGCCTCGAGACTGGTTGTCATCGTGCCCTCACAGAATGCGCGCCATCGACGCTCTTGGCGAAACCTTCTGTATTCGCCATATACTAGTAGTTTGGTCGCATCTCCCTTCCCGCATGTTCGGATGGACTCGGTTGAATGAAACCGACCGCATCTGGGTTCCTATCGCCTCGGGACTGATCTTCATGATGCCCTCACTGAATGCGCTCCATCGATGCACTTGGTGAAGCCTTCTATATTCGCCATATACTAGTAACCTGGTCGCATCTCCTTGGCCCTATCCTCGGATGGACTCTGATGAATGTAACAGACCGCATCTGGGTTCTTGTCGCCTCGAGACTGGTTGTCATCGTGCCCTTACAGAATGCGCTCCTTCGGCGGTCTTGACAAAGCCTTCTATATTCGCCATATACGAGTAGTCTGGTCGCATCTCCCTTCCCCAATGTTCGGAAGGACTCGGTTGTATGAAACCGGCCGCATCTGGGTTCCTATCAGCTTGAGATTGGTTTTCAATTTCGCCACTTGTTTTTCTTATTCAAGGCGATACAGGCCAGTCCTGACCGACCCGCCTACGTACCATTTTATGAAATCCGTTACACAATGCCCTATACAGCTGACATTTATTTCGGCCATGTTGATGTCGGACTATATTCCATTCTGTACCGCCACATGCAGGCCAGTCCTCCCTATATTTTTCTGATGCTATTTTTCTGAGGGTTATTTTTCTCCTGTTAAATTACTACAATCATTTTTAAATTTTGCTTTTGAGTTTTTTTTTCTCCTCTCGTTTTTTTCATTTTCATTTTGCTTAACGGACTTCTAATCTCAAAAACTATGTATTGCACTTTGTACAGATTTTGCCTACCTCGTCTTAAATTGGCATGTAAATTTATTTTTACTTGCTTTGATGGGACCCCGACAGGTCTTTAATAAAAATAGTTGAATTCAATTGAATTAATTGAATTATCCGCCAACAAGGTCTCGTTACTCAGACCTGAAGATTTTATCGACTTTGCACATACAAGTCACCTGCGCGATCGTTTGTCCTAAGTCAAACGCGAATATATGCGCATAGACAAGTGGAAGTTTTCATTAGTCAGCCGGTAGTTCGACCGTGGGACTGAATCCTAAGTGAAATGATGGCTCATGATATCATAGTAGTATTCAAGAAATAGTTGAATTGTTTGAGTCTTGATAACCGACGTGTCCCACTGCAGCGCGATCTACGGCAGCAATTAATTTTAATACCGAATTTTATGTCCTATGTAGCGCTCCCCTGCACGTTTAAAGTAAAATGTCAGCTTTACAAATGAGTACATTCTGTGCTAACTGAATATAAATAAATGTACAATTTCAAATGTACATGGGCAGGGCCATCTAGGTCTCCGGCAGTTCCCACCGAAATATACACATACACACATGCACGCATTTGATTCCAGCTTGTAAAATCCTCTTTCCTCTAAGGTATTGAGTCGGACGCCCTTAACGAGTAAAAAGAACCTTCTTTTATCTACGAAAACAGTTTGGCAATACCGGGTGAATTTTTGTCCCTAAACGAGTGTCTTTTAACATCTGCGGCCCTGAATTTAAAGCAAAAAGCGCAAAGGAAATGAAGGCAACATAAAGAGGCTGTCAGTTCTTATGACATTTTTAAAGGTTACGTGAAAACTTTGTTTCTGCGGCCGTCGGCCTCAGTAACAACACAGGTGACGAAGGTTAGGAGTTTCTCGCACTGCATAAAAAATGCTAACATTTTTCCTTCGAAAAGTGCACCAAAAACAGAGAAAATTGAAAAATATTAGAATATAAATCTGTTTAAGTTAAGAAGTGCGCCAAGGTCTAGTTTTCCCGTATCGACGGTAGGATTCACCCTGGGGGTCTGGAACATGGTTTTTTCGAACTTCGACAAAGGGTTGCCAGAGTTTCCACACTACAAAAGGAGAATGGAAGGCTATCTATGCTACAGATTTGCCCCGACTTACCGAACCAATAGCCGCTAGAGATTCGAATATGATTTTCAGGAGTGGTTCAAAGTCAACAATTATCCGAGGCGGGAATTGCTTGTTTGTGCAAGTATATTTTGTTTAGAGAACCTATAAGTAAGGCTTCACACCCTCTCGTTCGCCTTTAACACTAATTCAGACGTTGCAGAGGATCCAGAAGTGCCCTTATTTCCTATTGCATGCTCCTCATGTGATGCTCTTATTCCCGAGGGATTGTCACACTGTCAACTAATCATTTTTCCCTCACCTATTCGCCTTCTAGGTTTCTGATGGGCACCCAGTTGCTCAGCTTGGAATTGAAGCCTGTGCAGATCCTTTTGGGATGATAAAGTATTCCTTAGATTTTGTTCCAGAACGATTTCTGCATTTGGCTGGAAATTCGTTTAAACGACTCCACCGTAGCGGGCGCTCTGTTTGAGCTGAGCCTTTTGGCCAAGGATGTGGCTGTGGGGCCTTGCGCTCTACTTCACTCATAGGTTTATTTTGTTACTCATTCTGGCATTTACCCATATTAATGTGATTTTTGCCACTTCGAAAAGTGTACTGGCTTCTGTACTTGCGAATGTCTTACGACCAGTTTATGCAGATGATTTCTCAACCCCTATAACTAAATGCAGAACACTGAATCATATTAACCTTATTATATTGGAGGACACAGTCTCTCCTCACGCCGTTGGGAACATAATTAGTTTTTGCGCTCACTCAATGGTGAAAAACGTTTCCGTCACCTCGCATGCCGGTTAGTTTTTTTATCGCACTTGATTGTTTTAGTTCCAAAACAATACCTGAAAGAGCGTATGAAACGACATTTTCTTGAAGTTGGTGGTTTCAAGTGTATACAAAATGCGGTTAATTCATTCGTGCCCTCTTTTATAAGTAAGTTGCTCCTCTCACGAATCTGTAGTCTGTCAAGATGACAAACAAGTCCGATTATTTTTCCATGACTGGTCCTCTGGAAAACTAATGATTTCTGAGGCTGCAAAACGCCTCGCTGCATCTAAGGAGCCGATTTCTATGAAAACCCTTCATAGAGCAGTTTATGGTAGTCTTACTGTCTACTTACTCCTTCTTAAGACGTCTCAAGCGTTGATGCTGTCCCATTAACCATAATTTTTGGGATTCCCCATGTTTTCGGTGGACTCTTACCATGGCAATCAACATCAACTGAAATACTGTAAGTTTGCTTTAAGATAGCGACTTTTCATATTCTTTTCGAAACTGCTGGTCGTTCCAGTCGCCGTAATTACAACATACATTTCCAGCCTTGGTATTTTAAAGACTAGGTTTGCCTCGTAGTTCACCGGACCATTTGCTATTTCTCTAATATCCAACATATAAATTTTTGCCGAATACGAGTTGATTCACTAACACGGCATTAAAACATATTGTTTATATTTATTTCTATAGTTCAAGGTGACGAAGGCAGGATCTGATCTGTCCACAAGTTTAGACTTTGTAAATGTTTTTGATAGTGCACGTGGTTCGGCTGACAGCCATAAAGACATCGGCGCGTACACCTCTACTTAGCGCTAAGCTTCCATTCTCATCCAGGCAAATGATCCCCAGGTTAGCTCTTCAGCGTCTGCGGCCGCGGACAGGATTATGGCCTACCAGTTTTGACTGATAAACGGTTACTGGCCATTTCCGTTCCGCCCGCTTACTCATTGTAATCCTGTTTTCCAGTTCCCATATCTTCTAGCTGACCTTATAGGTCATATTTAACATAAAGCCATAAGCACTTCTGAGACAAAAGACAGATTTTGGCGAGTTTGAATAAGGTGACCGATTCATTTATGAGAGAGTCGGCGGTCTCAGTGGTATCCGGACCCGCGGAATAAAGCACAACCGTTTAGTACAATCACCGCGCCACCCATCTGAACTTCAAACTCTTGACTGAGTTTTGGGTTTTCGCAGTCGAATCATTCAAGTTATTCAAATTTGACCAAAACCTATGCCAAGGAATGAGTCTTGTAGTAATCCAGTGGATTATAGATGGATTAGTTAGGATAATTCACTATGGCAGTTGACCTGCTGCATTAAAATTTGTGGATTCCATGCGTTTGCGGTCGGGCATGTATCTTAACCCAACTTCTAATTATTATTTTTAATTCCTCCGAATAATGGATTCGAGCGGGTAGCTGGTATCTTTTCCCAAAGGAGCCTTCTGATCTGAGATGTCAACAAGTGCACAGTTACTGAAACTCGCCTTTACTAGGGCAACAATAAAGAAGTCAAATTCTTCATAATTTACGAGCATACTATATGGCAGTGCTTAAGTCAGGGATCAATATATATAGTAAGCATGAGTGCAGACCGGTCTTACTGATATCGCAGAGAAAGCTAGTCGTGTCTTCTAGTGGTAGATGTCGCGAACTATAGTGATCTTTTTAATCTCAGAAATTACTGCGCTAACTTTGAGTAAATCCTTCAGAATGAAGCTTCATAGGCTCAGTCGGAAAGTCGGTCTGGATATTTGAGCCGAAATCTATCAGGTCAAAGGGAGACAAGCGCGTAAACTGCCAACAGGCACCAGTAGTATGCAAATTTTGCATTATTTACCATACTGACGGTATTAGCCAAAGCCGGCGAACCTGTTTCGCCGATTTTTTGCTAGTATCTGTGGTCTAGTATGATAAATCGTGCAACATTTGTGTACAACTGACCCTCCGTAGACAGTTTATGAATATTACGCAGTTATCTGACCTAAGCTGATAAATTTCGGCCCAAATATTCATATCGACTTTCGGGTTGAGGCGATTAAGCTTCATTCGGAAGAATTTACTCCAAGCTAGGGCATTAATTTCAGAGGAGACTAAAATCCCCAAATCCCAAACTTAAGTGTCTACCAGAATGCGCACGAGGAGCTCTGGAGGACTCACTGACCAGCCAAATCACTCTCACCTGTGTCATGCGGTGGCAGAATATTGGCGAAACACGTGTCTTGGCTTCCGGGTTGTATCCATGCTGTCACTATGGTAACTTATTCAGCATATAACAACCTATTCGGTTATAAATAGGCTAATGCCAAAGTACTGGAGTTTTGACTGTCAACGCAATGGACAATGAAACAGCAGCACCTCCGGTTATATCCATGCCTTCATTAGCCCGAAAGGTGAGGATCGGCTGAAGGCCCCCAAGCGTCTGTGTCATACAAAGAATACCTACCACACTTATTTAAATGGGTTTTAGTCCGATACGATTATTTCGATTTGGTGTTTCATCGTACAAGGTTGGGTCGTCTGTTGTAGACGGTCTGGTACGTTATCTACAATGACCTCAGCTCAGAGAGCCGAGAAGCGATCGTTGTAGACAGTCTGGTGGATTTTATACAATGACCTCAGCTCAGAGAGTTGAGACACTTAATGTTTATTTTTCTAATTGTCCTGCTTAATTTCGGTTACTGTATGTCAATGCACTAAAACATTTCCGCCCGGAGAACGAATTTACCAATTATGTATACTTATTTTGCCATTCCTCTATGTATGCATAGGCCCCGCCCGTAAAACCCCTATTAGCACTTTTTCCCGTAAGACAGGCACCTTTGGCAGGTCGTGTGTTTGAGGTCCTTCACCCAATCGTTGCCGCCCGAAATAACGCAGACCAACACTTGCGACCACTTATAAATCTGGTGAACACAGCGCTTTTTTGCACGACGAGAAGAGTCACTTCCTAGGTACTGCATCCGGCGTCCTTCTGGGATAAGATCTCACAGAAACTCTATTCAGTTAGGTGATAAGCAGGATCATTCGACGCACCCCAGCAGACCACCCCAGCGTAAGAGTAAGTCGTAATCCGTTCATCACGAATACGCTCTACCCTGATGACATTGTAGTGCCTGCAAGATTCGTTGAAGAAGCAACTTATTCGATCCCACATAGGCTCGAATACAGCCACACGTGGCTAGGTAACCTCCTCCAATACCAAGGCTATCACAATCTGGGTTTCGCAGTCAAAATATTTGCTCGGTGACGGTGGACGGTTAAATCCGCAGGTTAGTGCAAAGATTCCGTTATCTTGGGTCGGAACTGTCAAATAGGCAAGGCAGGGGTAAAGTCGGCTATCGAATCAACCACACGTGCGACTTTTTGGCCCAACTCTGTTGAAACATGTGAAACCAGTGTGAGACCAGTCAGGTGGCCGAAATGCGAGTGCACGGCATTCGTCAAGACGATATTTCTATACGAATGTGAGACATAGCCGGTGGGCCCATGGGTGATTATTGCCTTCTGTCCTCGGTATTCGTCCCTCCGATCGCCTCCTCAGCGAATGTTTGCATAATCGGTTAGAAACAACCAGTCAACTTCACCCTCACTAGTTGGCTAAAATGGTTAGATGGTGCGTTGCATCGACCCGAGGGCGAGGTCCTCTGAGATGACATCCTCTTATCCCGGCCCTGGTTGGAAACATGGGTGGCCGTGAAGGCTGATTCCTAGCCCATTTCTGGTCCCGCGGTGCCACCTACCAACTAATTCAACTTTGTTACGGAGTCTGCCACCGACCAACCGTAATTGAAGACGATCATTCACGTCGTGAACCTGCAACCTGGGGGCGACTGTGTCAATTATAATAAATGCCCTTAGAAGTACGAGTAATTTTCTTGATTAACTAAGTACTGTGTTGTGGGCTTCATCGGCCTCAGTTTTAGCGGGTTGAGCATTGTCGCAATTGTTTCTGGAAGGCCAGTTTCATCTAGGGGTTGGGAGTAGGCCTGTACTACCCATTTCGGATCTGAGATGCGGTCAAAGTGGATGCTTTTTGCACATCTGATGATGGTCTGTGACTGCACACCCGCCAGACGCAGAGGCCCGTTCATGTGGTAGTCATTAATTAGGTCCTGATTTTCCGAAGATTAAAGAGCTGGACTCTTAATGACTGTTGATGGATAGTTCAAAATAGCGAAAACATCACAACATACATTTCTTTTACCCTATCTGTAATAAATTATCTCGCTCTACTGAGAACAGCTGTCTTCTCCAGACTAAGTCGGATAATCTGGATCGGACTGCTCTTCATCCTGCCATTTCCTTTCTTGATGCCGAATACCTGTTGGCCAATTTTGACCTCATAATAAGTTACAATGTCTCCAAGTTAGGTGGCAGGGCTGGCTGATTTTCTACCTAACAGGGGTGGTAATGGCATCTGCCCAAATGGCCTGTTTCGTCGAACCCGCACAACGCTAGCGTGATTTTCCATACTTTGCACGTGCGTCACCGGTCGATAATTGTTTATTTTTCCACCCAGGGCCAGTCTGAGTAAGTGACTCAGCAGGCGCATAGAACGCCTTATCGTTGCATGAAAAGGATGAAATATTTCCTACCGACGGCGTATTCGGCTACCTGCGTGAAATTTAGTGGCGAACCCCTTGTCTACATTGCCGTTCTAACCGATTTACTTGATGCATTGCAAAGCCAATGTGACACCATCCATCACTTACATGGACAACGGATACTGAAGTCCGCGATGGGACTTAACGTTTGAGTTTTTCTGGCGTGGAGACAATGAAGCGTGTGAGACCCGATGTCTCTGCGATCGGCTTGTGCGGAACGGCTATCCGAAGGCGTTCATAAGCCGATGCTTACCTATTCGCCCCCCGGAAGACCCACCAAGAGGCAGCGTCTACGGTTGGCATGCTCTGCCATACATCAAAGACATGTCAGAGACGATCAAGCCCATTGCTGTGGGACTAGGCGTCGGAATTGAACACAGGCTCGAAACTACCGTGCGCAGAGGGGTCATGAGGATCAAGGACCGATTAAATCCCAGTGGGCCGTCGGATGTAGTGTATCGCATCCCGTGCCCAAACTGTCCATTTAATTACACAGGCCGGACTGAACGCATACTCAAATCTCATACACAAAAGTACGCTCTGTGCGACGGCGTGGCAGATTATCACAAATGGCCGCTCCCACCTACGTAATGGGTCACGCATATAATTCCGCAGTCATAAAGATAGTCGCTCCCACCAGAAACGAGAAAAGCTACGAATTGTTTGAAGTAATGGCCTTAGTCGATCGATGTATCGACCTGCCGCCGGCCTATAGAGCCCTGCGCAGTCACCTTCAAACTGGTGTTTGATCGGCTCATACCCCATATAACCGTTGCTTGTTCTGTTGCGCTTTTATTTCTGACGACGGACTTTTGTACCAGTTCGAAGGCTCAGGCAAATAAAAAGACGGTTCCGGCTGTCGAACAGCTTTCTTCCCTACAATGGAGATGGTGTAACAGGATTGAACTTACACGCTGGCGCTGTTAACTGGTCATAATAAAATACGAAATCCGGTCCCACAAGGGCTGTTCTCAAGTTCTCATTTTCAATGATTACCTATTATAACTCAAACCCCAAATGGGCCTCCTTGGTTCGCTGTTTCTGTGCCAATTCTGACGATTCAAAAAGAATCCTTTCACTTTTTTTTCAGAACTTGGCCAAGTCATTCAAGCCTGACAGAATCAGATTTCGGAAGTTTGCTAACTCGCTTCTTCAGGATCACGCAACGATGGGGGAGGTGATTTGACTTTCTCAGCACACACCGCCTCTCACTGCTGACCAAACGTTCCCGGGGAGACTCCCTGTCTGTACATATATCTGGGGAAAATAATATGCTCGAAAACCGAAACTCATCGCAGGATGTAGCCAATTTTCCTACAAAACAATATTCTCGATTCATTGGAGTTGACTAGAAGGGCAGAAGGTTGTAGCTGCAAAATGTCTTAGTCATTTTCGTCACAACGGGCGCTTCTTGCGTCGATCATGTCAAGTAAGGCGATATAAGAAGGCGCTCTCATTTTCTAGCGGGTAGATGCATTTCAAAGAGCATTGTGCAAAATAAAAAACCGATGTTGGGCAAGTTCGGTGATTGGAGTATAAGTCAGAGGTATGCCTGCCATCCGAAGTACATGCGTGAGAGATTTTCCGGGTTCGTTGCTGCTCGGAGGAGAAGGTTAATCTGGCCTGCTGTTCTCAGAGTGCTCACACCCTCGCTGCCAGCGGCTGTAGAAAGGCCGCCACTGCCAATACCACCCACCCGACCTTCCAGTTTGTCTCGAACATTCAAGAGAGCGCGCTCGGCCAGCTGGTTAGCAGACTCTAAAATTCGATGGGGACCATAAAGCAGTCAGAAAAGGAGGTTCGACTTTCGGCCGACGAACGCATAATCTCTCAAGAGCGTGGGGTTGCAGTAGGTGGGTTAGTAAAGATACTTTAACGGACACGATTGACGGCACTTTAGATCTGCTTGCTAAAAGACGATCAGTTAAGTGACTTCTTGGGATTTATAGGCCAGGAAACTGGTTTTTCGTAAATTTATTTTGTTGCCTTAATAAAATGTGCTTCCATAAAACGGTTCCAGAACCAGTACAAAGCTGCATGGACGCGCGTTCCGCCATCTGAGGTCAGATTATCTTTCTATAAAGTCGTATGCCAGCATTGACAGTGATAACCATATGACTTCCGGAGTTTTTTAGATCAACCCGCTGACATACAATTGCTTCCTATAGCGTTATCGACTTTGAATTTCTCCAAAAAGTAGTTTGGGTCACATAGAATGATACTTAGGCTGCTGGTTTACTGACCTTAACCAAATTTTGCGTTGATCCCCAAATGTGTCTATGTCGTAAACGGTCAACTTGTTCATCAGCCATCAGCGATGACAACGAAATAGATATTCCGGAAGTCTTCTGACGGAAAGGACCTAAAACTGAAGTTAAATAGTGGAGACGGCTCCTTATGAACTGCCCACTTTAAGTACTTTGTCGGTGAATAGCCACGATACCTAGTCAGGCACAGCAGTAGAGCCAGAGGGGGCTGATCATACCGCGACCGGGAAAGCCAGCCCCAAAATACCAGAACTACAGTTCGTACTCTGTCAAACTCGAAGAGGACTATCGCTACCCCTTGTGGGCAGCAGTAAACAGCGCATGACCTGGAGGCATGCGCAGGGTTGATCAAGACGCATCGTGTTCTGATCGAAGGGCTAAGTCAAGGTTTCTGGAGGCGAGCGTGGGTGCAATGGCTAACGGATAGTTCCCTCTCGCCGCTCGCGTGCCACGCAAGTATTAGCTCCCCCAACCCACGCTAACCAAGCTTTGCCTTGGTGCCGCGTCGGAGAAGTCGTAAGGGGCCGCTGCGACCTGGCTCCCAACCGATTTATCCTCTCGAGCTACCGTTGATCGGCAGTGGTTGTGGTGGGAAAGGTTTGCACAAGGAGATCCCTTTCACTCTCACTTCTCCATTGCAGGCCGTTGGCAAGTGTTGTACCAAGCCAGGCACCACGACTGGCCATCTAACTCGCATCCCGCACGTATTGGTCGCTGTAGCAAGTTGGGCTAGGTAGTTTTTAGGCCGGTTACGTCGTCCTGCCGCCGCCGACTCAGAGCGTATTTCGGGTTTAACAAACGAGAAGAGGGCACAGGCGTGGACATTAGGCATGTAAGGGAGATGAACCTATTTCAAAGTGGAAGCAACGTCGACTGAACCAGCGACACCTGGCAGCCTAGGCTTTCATACAGCTGCTGTGCACTTAACTGCACGGGTAACTTAGCCCGGACCTAGACCTATACCGCGCTGATGGGTTATGAGCCATCGAAAATTCATGGTCAATTTCTGTCGGCCTTCAGGACGGAAATGTTAATTCGTACTACCTCAGGTGTGCATATATGCAACGTCATCTATAAGTCACACATGTCAATCATGCATACCAGCTGTACAGCGTCAACCAGTGATTGCATATACCTCTGATATGAAAACAACTCGGGGTAATAAGGATTTGGGCCGGGTGTCTAGTTGGTGAAAATTTGACGACGAAGAGCGGCAGCTCAATTGCAGGCTCGCCTTGTGAGCATCAGACATTTCAGTGCATGGATGGTTACAACGCTTGCCGAAGACTAGAAGGCGTCCAATGGGTCACGCCAGAGGTTGACAAATTCGTCCGGTCTGAGCCGTGGCCGTGGGCTCCTACAGCTTTAGGGATTTCGCGTGTGCCGACGACTACCCGCACCGTCAGACGCAAGGGCGTGCACCTCTTCCAGTCAAAACATCAAAAAGCCAACACGGGTGGAACGCGCAAGCTTCTCACTCTGCTGCTTCTGGTTGACCTGCAGTTCAGAGATTGGGGGTCAGGCACTGAAAATAAGACTGTGCCCAACCTTCGTGCAGTCGATGGCAGCGTAAATATGTAGGTTTACTTTCATCAGATTCGTCAACAGTTACAATGAAAACACGTGCGTACCCTTCGACCTTCGCTGCGCAGTCTGACAGGTGCTGGCGATTAGCCGTTGCACAGGTGGCTGGTCTCGGAAGACGGCCGTGGACTGTCGTTCCGAGGGGTCGTTCGTGCGGGCGGTTCCTGGGGGACCCACCGAGGGACCAACAGCGACTGCCTCGGCGCGTCTCGCTTCAAGAGCGCAGAGCTGAGCCGGACTGAGGGACCACGAGTAAAGAGGGTCGTGCAAAAGTACCTACAATAAGCGTAAAGTTGTGAACATTTCAGTGAAAATATTTGAGACCGTCGGGGTGAAACCCACAGAATGTGTTAAGGCAGCCGGGTGCGCAGAATTCAAGTGTTCAATTGGCAAAACGGAGGCAGTGAAAATAATCGGTATGATCGTATTACTAAGACGGTGAAGAGTAAGCAAAATTTGGTGGGTGATCGCAGGCTTCTATTCACAGCATCATATGGTATCAGTCACCTTGAGGGTTCTGAAGGCAACGAAAAGAGTGACTGCAGCTGTCCATAAACCTAGACGATTAGTCAACTGACTTTGAAATGGCAAAGATTCGCCTCACTTTGTCGAACACGTGGAAGTAATAGTTCCACAGTACTAGGGGGAATAATTTAAGTGTAACCCCATTGACTTACAAATAACTTGGATTACGGCCATGCATGGAGTTCAAACAATAAAAGTTCCGTAGGCATGCCGGGTCAAAATTATGACAGCAAAGAGCCGCATTACACTATTGCAACAACCAAACTGGCAGTCTATTGTACGAATCATCTTGCCATGCGTTCACGTCAAATCTTTGTATATTTGTAAAACACCAATAACTATTGTGAGGGGAACTGTCCTCACGAGAATTCTCCGACTGAACGGCGAGGGCTGAATAGAGCCAGAGATGCAAGTAGGGCACTTAGCATCTTTATCAAGGAACAGATGACATTGGCGTTATATTCAGTATTGCGTAACTGGAGCCTTTAAGCTAGGTAAAATCAAGTGTGCATGTAGTCCGCTTTCTCATTAAATGAATTTACCATGTTCCGAATCCATCCGAGAGGCCTGCAAAGGAATCATGAAGGCACTTAGAAGTTTAGAAAGAAAGACTACCAAGAGGTCGATTTATTCTGTATTTTGGGCATAACTTTCGAAAACAGGTGCAGGTGGTCGTAGACAAAATAGTTGATCTTAGATAACAGCCGACGCTCCGCATCGTCTGTGGATACTTCCCTTGTAAGTCTAAAGCCCGCAACGACAGTCCTGGCAGAACAAAAATTGAGCGAGAACTGTAATTCACAGAAAAGCTCAGTGTCAGTATGCCACGAATGTATGTTTCGCGGAGGTTATCGAATTATTTTAGAATATTCTACAGTGCGGACGCCCACAAACCCTGAGGCGTTTATCTTTGCCTATAGTAAGCGGTCGGCCGACTGTAAGAAATTTCTTCTTACCCTACTCCGTCCTATAATCAGGCCTGACTAATCAACGCGACCGCCAATAGTTTATCCACCGTAGGTGATGGAGTCCAAGACTGTGCCAAAGGGCACAGTGGCAAGTTGCAGGTGAGATAGGGCGCCTTCGATATCACTGCTGGCCGAATTTGCGCCTTAACACGAACCATTAGGAAATCCAGACAGGTTGGGACCCCAGCGCAAAAAAGGTGAAAAAGGTTTACTTAGGGATGACATTAAAAAACGAAGTGAGCCAGCAGATGGCAGCTGCGTACCTCGAGGAGAGTGATGATGACATCTGCGCCGGAGGCGAACACCAAGAGAGCCGACTCGGCAGCAGTGGTGAATCCGGCTTCGGGGCCAAGAGGACCGAGAGCATGGATAAGATCTCGGGTCAAACGAAAAGGCACCACTTCTGGAGTTGGCAGAAGACGACCCTTGTAAAAGCCGGTAGAGAAGGCTTTAGCGATTAGATATATAATAAACTCTTTCAAAGGGCTTGCCGACATGTAGACGGGTGAGAATGACGATTTTTTATCTCTTACGTTAACCAAACATATCTAAGCCAGATGATCTGAATCTGACTTGGTTGTTTCCAGGTTGACCCAGGCCTAGCCCGACAGCCCAGCTGCGTTGCCCGAGACCGGGAATGGTGCAGTCAGACCACAGTGCATTACTTCGACTTCATCACAAATGGTCAGTCATGTTGCACTAGTACCACAAATACTGCTGGCCACTGATAGCCCTGTTCGAGGGCTTGAATACAGGCCATAAATAAGGAGGGAAGAAAAAGTGCTAGGCTTTGCGCATAATCAAGACATATCGGAGTACGGTAGAAAAGCGAGAATTTTTGCGAAGGAATACGAATGTCAAACCAAAATTAGGTAGTGAAACCAAAAAGGTGACGAAGGTCGTTTACTGGATTCGAAGGCAAATCAGCAACCCGAGAGCCAGCTCATTCGCGAGTGAGAGAGACTCGTTAGAATCACTTCGGCCTCCCGACATAAGAATCAATATAGAAATTATGTATAGGCGTTTTGGAAGACTTAATAATATATCTTGGCCCAGCTGAGAAAAACTTGGCGACCTCGGTGCGTCTGAATTCCACCGATGCCGCCGAGTTTTCCAGTTGGGTCAAAATAAAAATTATTGATAAAACTGGGAGAAAGTCGGCCAGGCACATCTCGGATCAGCTGTAACTGAAGGAAGATGCTCAGGAGTGGATAACTTCAGCCGGCAAAAAGGTAGTCAAATAGAATATATGGAAGCCAGGCGAGGTCCCCCATACGAGATAAGCACGGGCGACCTATTAGTTGTTCAACTGAGGCCAGACAGGTTATAGTGTGAAGGCTGCGGGGAGCCACTACACAGACCAATTGGCCGGATATCACCGGGATGATAGCGAGCGTGGAGGCCAAAATCGGCTTCCTACACCTGACTGAGGGTATTCTCGTTGCTTACGTCGACTGGAGTTCCTGCTACTAAGATTAAGTCCAGCACCTATGTTTTAGCGCTTTATAATGGATATAATAGATCGGACTGAAAGCGGTAGGGGAGGGAATGACGACGAGGTGAGTAAAAGTGCCAGGGCAGGGAGGGGCGGGTTGAGACAGGTTAGAAAAATGAGTACTCACCTGATCGAAAGCAATGCCCAGATCAATGTGCACTACCTCGCCTGTGGCAGGATGCAGCAGCAGATTGTGCGGGTGCCGGTCACCCAGGCCGACCAGAAAACCGAGGATGGAGGAGACAGCCAGTGAAGTGGTGTACCTCGCTTTTGCAGCGTGCCACTCAGTCGGGCTGGGGAAATTCTCAAGGAAAAAGTAGCCCAGGACCGGTCTGTCCGAAGAGGATAAACCGAGAGGAGGGGGAGAGGTTGAGGGCGTTGGGAAATACTTGATAGCTATAGGAGGCTACTCTATGATCTTGAACATTCTTAAGCTTGTTCAGCCAATTCACGGACTGTCATGCAGAACACTGAGTGAAGGGCCACTACGCCAATTAAATGAAAGATTACAGGAGGACGGTAAATACCCTTATCGCGACCGCAGTCACAGAGACCTCCGTCCAAAGTCTTAAAGGCTGAAGCAACATTTGCAGCAACCTTGGAATCAAAATAGTTGAAATTCGGTTAAAGTACGTGAGGTGCGCGCCTAGAATGCAAGACTTGACGTGACGTCTAGCAGAAACGGACAAATGCCGGAAAATGTGGGTCCCGTGGCGTTATAGTTAGGCGTTGGAAACTAGGCGCCAAAGTAAAATTATTATAATAAGGAGGGTGGAGAGCAGGAAAAGGTGTTAACCAATCTGGCTCAATGGTAGGACACAGCAATACACGGCTCCGAGAGTTCAAGGTTATCATTTGTGGCACACAGCTACAAAAATAGGCAAGTCGGAACAGGTTTTTGTCGCAAAGATGGGTGCGCAATCATCAGATCGGCAATCATATCAACCCAAGGTCTCGGGTCATACGGGAGCCCATCCTCACGCATGATAACTTTGTAGGCTGATAACACCAGGTGCAAAGGGATGAGGATGGGGTCCCAGTGCCTGCCACCGGGTCCTCATGGTGCGGTGGCCATGTGAGTTCTTAGCTGGAAACTAAATTAAACACCTCGATCGGGTGAGAACAAAGTATGATAGCAGGGAAGTATATCAACGAGACCGAGGCCTCTGACGGCTCCTGTCGTGTCCTATTGTCGGCACTATCCGCGAAGTCCAATCTGTGGTCTTCCTTCCGGGTACAGTCGGCGACCTGGGACAGAGTGGCGCCTCTCCGAATGACTCGTTCGGGCTCGCATCTTTGTCAACTGCGCCGTCATGATGTTCAGCCTGTATAATGGCCGGAACAGTCGTGGCGTGGAGTACAACAACCTACACTAGACTGCTCACCTGCAACCAGTTGGTCATTCACCTGCGTGGCCCTGGTACGCAGGGTAGCTTTTGGAAAATGGGTGATACCCACACGAGATCTCACGACATTACGTTCCGTCGCTTTTGATGCATTCTTTGCCGCTGGCCCTCGTGATGATAAAGTCGTCTCTGGGTAGTTCCGCGGATGCTGACGCTCCTGTATTTGTCCCTCTGGACCAATGTGACGAGTTTTTACCTCGTGCCGCCGACACGCGGATGAGAGGTTCGTTATGATTGAGGGGGAGGAACCACCATGCCACCAGAAACTACTTAGCGGCATCTGCACAGACCTTCAATTTCCAAAAGAGAAGGCCCGACAATTGCCGTTTTCTTGGCGTTCTTGTCATGCAGAAACCTAGTTTGGCACCATGGTGTACCGAAAGGCGACTAACAACCCAGATACCCGACTGTCGTGGCAGCCGCCAGATGGTGAACAGAAGCGACTGTGCTGGGACGTTCTTTCGGTTTGAGAGCTGTGAATGGCGAGGCACCGTTGAGTGATGACATAATGTGGTCAGGTTGGATGGTTTTTCCACTCTCCCTTGCGCTTTGTCAGACCAAAAACTGCTCAGGTATGATAGTTTTTTTATGTCTCTGAAGATGGGTTCCTGTGCCCGCTGACACAAAATACCGTCTCGGTGATTACATGTTCTTCTTCCTTAAAATAGATAACTGTGGCCATTCCACTCTATAGAAATCACTTCGAATAAATGTAATTCGCGATAAGCAACAATCAGCTAGATCTGAAAGGGCTGATTTGAATCTAAGGTCATCCGGACCCCCCTTTATGGTTGCGTGGTGGCGGCAGATAAGCCGAAGATACCATCTGTTAACATTCGCTCGCACGACAAGAGGGCAAGGAAAGCGAGCTGAAAAACAATAGTGTTGCAGTCAGTCGCCCAGAAAAAGTCTCACACAGAATTTATGCTAGGCATACAAGAAAGTCTGCCCCAGTTAAAAAGCTTTTCCTTTCTGGAAGAGGTCGTATGAGAAATATTAGGTACTGTGGAAGCAGCGTGGGATAACAGCTGAGTGAGTTGGCAGGTACTTTTAATTCATACTGCAGCAAAGTTGAGGGAGGATGTGGCTGCTTTGAACTGCAGTGTAGCTCGACATGGCACAGTTAACAGGTTTTCGTCGGAAACTAGTCTCCTACCCCCGCAAAATATTAACTCCCTTCAAGAAGAGCAGAGCACTCATATAGCATTTCCAAGACAAAAAGGTCATAATTAACTAACTTGGTAGCCTAGGGCAATGCGCCGCCGAAACCAAACATTTCCAAAAGGCGGTCTTCAAGTTTCGTTGGCGCATCAAGATCATGCGCGAGCAACGTGTGGCTAACATCTAAGAGCTACAATGACACTGAAAATGATGATTCGGAGCCATGAAAAAGTGCAGACAGAGAAGGGTCCGGCCATCAATTTCGCTGACCTCAGTCTTTCACAAATCTCCTGAAAGACGGCAAATTTTCGTTCCTGCCCCCTGTCACGTACTCCTGCGAGGCGCAATTTGGCTTGCGTAGGCGTGAGGTCAGTGGGATGGTAGCGCTGGTGAGCACCACTGGTTTCGTTAGCCAACCAATCCCCAAGTGGCACGGTGCCCTCGCACCACTCGATAAGACCGCTTCGGCGTGCCAGAGGAATTACCTAAGTAGTGGATGGAGAGAAGAAGTCAAGAAGGTGATCTATGTGGACAAAGTTGAGAAGGGTAGCTTCTGAGGGGCAAGACCTGAAAAACTGAACACAAATAACTGCGTGTCCCACACAAAAGGGGACAATCAAACTGAATTCATGTCGTGCTAGTGCTGCTGGTTACGTCTGGCCTAGAATAACCAGCTTCGAAGACAGAGGTAAGAGTACACCCATCGGGCCCCTTCCAACCTCTCAGATGGTGAGCTATAACAAATACTGCTCTCAATTTACACATTAACGAAGCCCCGAAGCAGGAATTGGAGAGAAGGAACTGCAAACCGAGAAGAACATACAAGAACCAACAAAAGTGAACTATACACGGACCGTATAAGTGCGGATTCGCATGGGCTGACGTGACAGACAAGGGTTTGAGGTAGGCGTGGACCGCTGAGCTTGATTGGCGGTGCTGGAGGTCGTTGCAGCGGTAAACGGCATCACATCGTAGGCGTGGGCTGCCAGTAGGTGGTTGGCTGCTGTAAAAACCTACAAAGCCAAGGTACCTGTGGAAGAATCTGGCCAATGTTGCAATATAAATCTGAGTAAAAACGACGTGGTAATCTTTTCGACAAACTCGATTATGTCCATGACTAGCCTCAAAATCTGCGGTTATGACGCAAGGCAGGGGAAACTATCTCAGCATAGGCTTAACCCCACCCCCCCCCCCAAAGTCTTTGTTTTAATGGCGTAGACAGGATTAAGACGACTGTAGATGGGTTTACGCACTGGCATGACAATAAGATCCCCTCTGCGTAGGGCACAGCAGGGTTGGTTCCTCCATAGTTATCTAAGAAGACAACAGACAACTTCGCTGGGTGGGAAACACTCTGGCTAATCCTCATTTGGTTAGAAAACCACCAGATCCCTCCCGCCTGATGCACCGCCCCAGGTAAAACGGCTTTAAGAGGGGTTATCACAGCAAGGCACATAGAAGTACCGGTACCTGTGGTCTTGCGCATGCAGAAGGGACAGAATGAAGGCAGGGTTAGCAACGGTACAACTTGGACAAAAGAGGTCGGTAAAAAAGCCCTCAAAAAATATGTCGAATGCTTTCAAGAAAGGTCTTTCGAGTCGGTTTCTGTTTCGCTACGAAAAAAATTAGGAGATAATGGCATGTGATTAAGAACGTTAGAAGGCAATAAAGACGACGACAGACGGTACAAACGAGAGTACTTGAACCTTCCAGTGGGATGAAAACGAGTGCTGATTCGTTTACCCCCCTTGAACGCGACCAAGTACATAGTTACTTAAGGTTTTTGGAGGATTTTACAGGTCTACAGTTTAGTAGAAAAAATTCCGCTACACTTTCCAGCGCGCTACCTAGGGTGGAGACACGGGTGGTCTTATAACATGGAAAAATCCCACACTCAAAACAATTAGAACAAATCAAAATAGCACATAGAAAAAATGTTTTCGTGATTCCAGTCAAAAGGAAATCTCCGCGCATCTTCATTCAAAACATCTTATAAAGGCGACTCCGATTTTAAATACACCCAGTACCCATAAATTCGCAGCATTCAAAAACAGTGTTCGGAACGTTTTCTGCTGAAGGTATGCTTTAGGATGCAAAAGTTTTGGAAAACCTAATTACTCTCATCAAATTTAAAATATTTCCATTAAAAAGTCTTCCCAAAGAGTATAAAGACAACCAACACTGACCGACTTCGGCACTTATTACATCCCAATAGCTCCTGTTTTCCAGGTCAAAGACTAGCGGAAATCCAAGGAGCTAACTTTCTATACTGATCCCTCGTTCTTCCCACCGACACGGATCGTGAGGGAAGCTATATCACTAGACATTGATTTTAATAAGTGGAGTGACAAGTCATACCGTTAACGGGTTAAGGTTGACAGTTAAAAACGCCAGACTAGGACTCTTGGTCGGGAACTCCGAAGGATAGGTCCATGATTCACACACGCCCCACCTTAGTACGACTTACTTGTAAAAATATTTGGGAATGATAAGAAAAGACCCCAGAAGTCCTGTCGAACTCCCGCAGTCGCGGTTTTCAACCAGGAGGGTCGGGAGAAAAGGATTGATCTTTTACCTGCTGCATGATCGCATCCTGACGTGGGTCATCCCGACACTTTAGCAACTGGCGTCGTTTCCGGCCATCGGAGCAAAGAATGGTGATTATTTTGGGCATATTGAGGCCGCCTGCTAGACGAAAGTTAGGCAGGAGCGAGACAAGACGAACAAGGGAATCGAGCGGGTAGGTGCAGGAGCTGTTGATTTGTGGGACACAAGTGGTTGCCGCGATGAGATCCAGCTGCTGATCCGCCGATTCATGGGTGAGGCGATACAGAGCGCAGGATTCAGGCAAGGGCAAATCTCCTAAAGAGAGAAGAGGTGGAAAAGAAGGAAATGGCGGGAAATTCAAAGCGGCAAGCACGAGACTATCTGGCATATTGTTTGATCAGAAGCGAGCACAGGCACAACACTCAAGGCCCGTACAGAATGGACGTTGAAAAGCCACAAGTAACAGAAAAAAGGAATAGGTAGCAGGACAACAAATAAGAGAAGGAAAGCAAGATAGTGATTTATATCATGATTAGTAAACCAGTGCACCACTGTGTTCGGCGTGAAGGAAGTTTTGCTCCATGTTGCCAGCGACGTCGACCACCACCTTTTCTCCTTCCCAGTCAAGTTTGGGCGTGCGACAAAATACTAGCGAGCGAGAATTCGCACTAACTAGACGCTGAAAACGCGGTTCACTGACCACGCATATGGAGGCTTCCAAAAGGTGCATGGAAGCGTCAGCTCGACCGTCGCAGACGAGAATGTCCACCGGGTGCCCGTTGCGTGGCGGGCGCAGGACGGTGACTTGAGTGTAAATTGGTTTCTTGCGACTTACACAGCGTCTCCGACACTTTGTCCTCTCTCACACTCCTGGACGCGGTGGCAAGAGGGTCAGGGCTGCCGGAGGCAGGATCGGGCGCACTGGCTAACAGTAGTCCACAGCCTGTTTATGCGTGTCACACACGGCGGACCAGTTTTTTACGGAAACAAGATGTAGTCAGCTCAGATCCCATGCAAGTAAGAGTGCCATATCAGCAACATTAGGAAGGAGGCGTTGCAGCGTGACGCACGGTCCACCAGCCCGCCACTTCACTGCGAAGTCTGAGTTATCCCGTCAGTTGGCAGCTTTCCAATCCACCACTTCTTTGCGCATTGTGATAAGTTCAAGCTTGACAGGTTGTGTATAGTGAGGAATATGCGCCGAAACCGTCGACCTCCCTCCCCCTTTCCTCTTCCAGGCATCAGTCTACTGTCCGCGCCGGTCAGTTAACTGACGCGCGCGGATTGGGCACAAATAGCTGACGCGGTGTGAGCCTGCACCCAGGTGTGCCACCAGACTCCCCATTTTTTATGGCATGCGCAGACTCTGTGTGTGTCTAACATGTGTTCTGTCGTAATCTGACGAGCCTTTTGGTCCAGCGAAACGCGAGCGGAATCCACTGTGAGGGGGGGGGGAAGGGACTGCATCGGCGTACACAGAGAAGGCGTTAGCACAAGACATGGAGATAGGAGTGAGCGAATGCTCATGCAACACGGAGGAAGACGCTAAATCTCATTAAACGTCAAATAGTGTCAAAAGAGAAGTGGTAAAATAGTCAAAATAGTAGTGCGACGAGCATACCAAAGGGCGTCCTACAACAGATCAAATATCCCACCATACGTGGCAGG